AGCCAAAGACCCTCATTCCAAAGGGGTGGACCCATTTGCCCGTTTCAATTTGTTTTCTAAAGAAAAACAAGGCTTTGTGTTGGGATCTGGAGATCTGCCACCTTTCTCCAGCAGAGGGCGCCCCGGGTCTCCTAAGCTGAAGCCACCATCACACCTGCGGCTGATCAGCTCATCAAGGAGACCAGCTTATAAGCAGCGGCTGAACTTCTCTTCGGTGCCAGAATGTTAGACCAGTTATGGTTAGCAAGCCTGAGCCGAACCTGCATGTCTGAATCTCTGACTGCTCTGAAGAGTAAACTTGAACCTTACCAGTCTTTGTCCTCTCTGCTTACTATGAAGACCTGAACAAAGCCTGGAGCTCTGGAGGAGCTCATTGTCTGAAACCTGCCTGCCTGCTCTGTGAAGCCAAACCTGAAGATCTACTGTCTGAATCTGCCTGCCTGTTCTCAAGGAATGAACTTGGAGATCAACTCAAGGTCTGAACCTCACTAGTCTGAAGCCAAGCCCTGCCGCTGCTAAGCCCTCAGTCTCTGGACCCTTCTAGTTCCCTCCCTCTTCCGCTCAGTCTGAACCACAATCAGGTACAGATCAGTTCCCAACTCTGTCAAGACTCTCCTGCTTCCTGGCTAACCAAACTGTCCCTCTCTGCAGAGAATCCTGTGATACCAGTCCCGGACCCGTTCCAGCATCAGTCCAAAATAACCTTATTTGTGTTTATCTCAATAAACAGTTGAAACTTTTACTCTGTCTCCGTGGTGTTCTGCATTTGGGTTAAGAACCTTAGACCCAACATGACACTTTCTTGGGCTACTTTATAAAGCTTTGAACTCAATGCTATTCCTGACATTTTGAATTGCCAGGAATGGCATTTAATAATTAAAATTGATTAAAAATAAAAAATATGACAATAAATTCAGGACATTTTTCAAAAATGAGTGAACATGCTGTTAAAAGACAAAAGCTGTGAAACCTGCTTGGATCTGTTGGGTTTTATGTTTCCATCAGTCTTTTTATTAATTAGCTGCTTCTCTCAAATAAAGGAAAGAATCAGCTTCTAGTAAGAGTGAGACCCTAACTATAGGTCACCATATTTGTTTTTCACATAATAAATGTCTGGGTGTTTGCAGAGTTTCCTTCATGTAGATAAAAACAAACCAGACACCAACAGTCCAACACTTGGTTACAGAGTATTTGATGCAGTTTAGGGTCATTGTGTGATCTTAACATGTATAGCTGGCTTTGGACAGTGAAACTCTGCAGGATCAGTGGGTTAACTAACGCAGAGGTAGAAATGTCTCATGGTCGTTGTGGGTTTCCTGTTTTACAAAGAAAAGAGGTAGAGAGCTAAGGCTAAAGTTTCTAACAGCTTTGTGTTCACAGACATTCATGACCACAATGAAGCTAAATGTTTCCTCAACAAAACACTAATGTGGCTTTTATTAAAGTCTTGGAGCTGACTGGCCAGTTCTAGAACTAGTAGTTTGTTAAGCTTGGAGCAACTGGGGAAATCTCCAGAAAAGCTTAATGAAAGAAAGAATAAGCTTGATAGTTAATGTAAGAGTTTTATGATTTTCAGAACATGTTACCAGGTTCAAGGTGGAAGAGTATTTGTGTAAACTAACAGGAAACCCACAAACACCCCTTCATGCATCAGCAGACGTGTTTCTGCTTAGAAACTGATACTGCAGATAAATATAAACTTACTGACAGTTCGTCAACACATATCTTAAGAGAAACACAGATTAGGACAAACTGGCTGCAACCCAGTCAGTTGTTGGTAATTTCTGGGTAATGTTAAAGTATACAAATCTAAACACACTACATATATTTAAATTCCAACTATGACTTTGTAATACATTTATTAAAGGCAGGGGAAATGGGTGCAACTATGGGAATAACTTAAACAATAAGTCCTTTTATTAAAAAGAAAACACAAAACAAAAACAAAACAGGATTACTATGCATGGTTATTGCGCAGGGTATTAACATGGGTATTTATATAAAACTAGCTATTGCTCTGGGTATCAAATATAAAGAAACAGGTTTTTGCACAGGGTATCAAATAGTAATTGAACATTATACATTGCACAAGTTATTAAGGTTGTAGTGTGGCATTGTAGAGTCTGGTTGCAGCAGGGATGAATGACCTGCAGTAGCGCTTCTTTTTACAATAAGGGTGTAAAAGTCTGACTAAAGGAGCTGCTCAGCTCCTCTACACTCTGGTGCAGTGAGTGAAAAGTGTTGTCCATGGTGGATGGAAGCTTGGACAGCACCCTCCTCTCAACCTGTTTCTTTATATTTGAGCCACTTCCTCCACTGAGTCCAGAGTGCAGCCTAGGAAAGAAACAGCTTTTCTCACCAGTTTGTTCAGTCTCTTTCTGTCCCGCTCTGTGCTTCCAGGAGTCCAGCAGACGACAGCGTAGAGGAGGGCTGATGCCACCACAGAGTCAGAGAAGGTTTGAAGTAGGGGCCTGCTGATTCCAAAGGACCTCATCCTCATCCTCAGGCCCTTCTTATACAGGGTATCAGTGTTATGACTCCAGTGCAGTTTATTATTGATGTGAACTCCCAGGTATTTAAAAGTCTCAACTGTTTCTATGTCCTTCCCCTGGATGTTCATGGGAGAGTGAGGTGGGGGTCTTCTCCTGAAGTCGATCACCACCTCTTTGGTCTTACTGGTGTCAAGACACAGGTGGTTCTTCTCACATCAGTCCACAAAGTTCATGATGACAAATCGATACTCCAGCTTGTTCCCCTCAGAAACACAGCCTGCAATGGCCGAATCATCTTAGAACTTCTGGAGATGGCAGCTGTCCGTGTTATAGGTGACGTCCGAGGTGTAAAGGGTGAAGAGGAACAAAGACAGAACGGTGCCCTGGGGGGGCCCGATTCTGCAGACTGCCACCTCTGACTGACAGCCGACATCAGTGCTGAGGGCGTTTGGTGAGGTAGATGATGGTCCAGTCAGTAAGATGTTTGTCCCCTGCAGCTTCCTCTAACTTCACTCTCAGCAGCTCTGGTCTGATGGTGTTGAAAGCGTTGGAAAAGTCAGCAGGTAGATGATGGCATCCTCCACTCTGATGTCAGGTCGGTAAACAAACATCTTTTTATATTGACTGTCATATTTTTATCTTTAATGGCATCTTGCTTTAACTCTTTACACTCTATATAAGCTGCTGGAACCGGAATTTCCCTGAAGGAGTAATCCCAAAGGGATAAATACAGTTGGGTCTAAGTCCCAAGGATGAGGCGCTACATGGTATTCATCAGGTGGGATGTCAGGGTGATTGGCCTTAAGTGGGCCGGTTCATTGGCTTTGGTGTTTTGGGAACCAGTACCACGCATTAGGTCTTCCAGAGAGTGGGGACCACCAACAGGCTGAGGCTCAGGTTGTAGATGTAGCTGAGGACCTTGCAGAGCTCATCAGCACAGTTCCTCAGCAGCCTTGGGAGGATGCCATCCAGTCGAGAAGCTTTCAACTGTTTCAGTCTTTTCAGCTGGCCCCTCACCTGCATCAAAGTGACTGTGAGGCGGGAGGGAGGCAGGACAGAGGGTGTGAGTGGGTCAGGGGTTGGTGAGAGTGCTGATGAGGGTAGGCGGAGTCAAATCGGGTGAAAAACTTGTTTAACTCCAAACTTGGTGTCTCTGCTAAAGCTGTGAGCTACTAAGTCTTGTTGAGGAGCAACCTTAGGTTTCCCATGACAGGTGGGCTCTCCTCATCCTCTACACAAAGTATATTCGTTTTGTGCCCTTTTGACCAGTGAGGTGGTGTTTAAAATCCAGGTGAGGGTGTCTGTGATGTGCACCCCCAGGAATTTGGTGCTGCTGACCACCTCTACAGCTGAGCTGTTGATGAGCACTGGAGCGTGGTTAGGCCGGTTCTTCCAGAAGTCCACCATGATCTCCTTCATCTTTTCCACATTCAGGATCAGGCTGTTTTCTCTGCTCCACCAGCTGCTCCACTTCGTCTCTGTAGTCCTGGTTGTTGTCGTCTCTGATGAGGCCCACCACCACTGTAGTGTAATCCCCAAACTTCACGATGTGATTGGTGAACCTGGGGATGCAGCCGTGTCTTATCAGGGTGAACAGCAGGGGGCTCAGAATGCAGCCCTTGTTGGGATCTGGAGGTCTGTCCACTTTTCTCCACCAGAGGGCGTTCTAGGTCTCCTGGAGCTGGAGCTGGAGCTGACATCACCACCTGCGGCTCGTTTGCTCATCAGGAGACCAGTACTTAAGGAGGCGGAGAGCTACACTCTGACGCCAGAGTGTTTTGCCAATTATGGTTAGCAAGCCTGAGCCAACCTGCCTGTCTGAATCTCTGACTCCCAGAAAACCTGAACCTGAACCTAATCTGTTTTGTCCACTCTGCTTCCCAGGTTGAACCTGCCTGAAACCTGAAAAACCTTAAAGAGTTTCTCTGTTGGAAATCTGCCAGTCTGATCTCTGAAGAACCCTGGAGAATCAAACCTGTCAAAGACCTGCCTGCCCGCTCTCTGAAGAATCTGAAAGGGAAACTCAAACCTGTCTGATCTTCACCTACATAGATGTTCCTGTGAAAGACTAAAATAAAAATATGTAAAATATTTAAAGATTTTAAGATTAACTAAACATCCCCGTAGCTGGAGATAGGCACCAGCAAACCCTCGCGACTCCACTTGGGATTAAGCGTGTAAAAAAAATGGACATCCCTGTGTCTTTGATCTTCTACTGAATTTTAACATATTTAATAAAAAAAATTTTAATTAATGCGATCAAGTATTAACAAGTAAAGTATTTGGTTTGATCGAGAATTACTTTCATCAGTTCATCCATTCAGCTCAGTGTTATTTTTCTCAAAGTTGCATCATCTTAAACACCAACCAAACTCACATAATGAACCTAAACCCGCCCAAAAAAACCTCAGAATAAAATGTTCCATTCCAGCAGCCAATCAGCTTCTACATCTCCTTCAACGGAAAAATCTGCATCATATCTTCACCGTATAAAACTTGTGAAACTGTCACTTAGACGCAGATCAACGTCGCCATGGATGAAAGGCAGATGATTCTGGTCGTTCTCTTTGGTAATTTTTAGATTTACCAACATATAAATAATTATGACCATGATAGGGATAAAAACTAAAGTTGGCTATATTTAAAGTTTAGATCTCCTGAATGTCGGAGCTTTAATCCTGGAACAATATTCATGTTCTTTCTTCAACGTCTTTCTGTTTCAGGACTTTTTTCCTGGAATCTCTGCTCCATTTCTGCTTCAATGCTGGAGACGATTGTTCGACCTGGAGACAACATCACCCTCTATTGCGACTGCAGGTCGTCCACTGAAGAAAATATATTCTGGTTTAGAAACTGCTCCCATCAACACCAACTTAGGATGGAGGCACTTAAAAGCTATGGGGAAAACTTATATCCTCGTTTTAAATTTTTAAAGAATCAGTCGTCCGACTCGTATGACCTGCTGATCATAAACGTCACTGATTCTGATGAAGGACTTTATTACTGTGGAACATTTGAAAATAAGGTGGAGAAAGACAAAAATGGAAAAAGTTCCTCTAACTACGACTACGTCTATGGAAACATCAGCACAAGGATCACACTCTGTAAGTTCTCCTTTCTCATTTGATCACAGAGCTTCTAGAAGAATAATTATTTTACAAAAGTTGGACCAAAGTGTTTTAACATTAATGTGGAGCTGAATCAGAGAAAGATGAAACATCAAGATGTTAATGAGTGGATTAATCTAATGATTTATTTGGAATAATAAAAATAAAAACACTACAGGAAACTTCTCAAGCTTTGGTCAAACAGACGAATGTGCTTTTAATTACTTTATCATTTGACATTTATTGACCCCAGAAAATATTCATTAAGAATAACAATCTCTTTTTCAGTAGAGATCTGACAAAAATAAAATAAAACATAAAATAGAAAATTAAATCACCTTTGAAACAGTTATAATAAATAATAAATAAATAATAAAAATGGTTCCAAATGTACTGAATGCATTTATATAATAGTGAGAAAATAATCTTACATTTCTTTGGTTGATCAATAATCATTCCTGTTATTATGATTAATAAAATGATGCAAATTTTCAGTATTTACTGGTAGAGATCAGCTAATGACATCCACAGAATCAGGAGGTGATTAAGAAATAATTATCTCTGTGTTAAAACTACAGACTAGAACAATCTGTTTAGATGCTTTTATTTGGGGCTCATAAAAAAAAAAAAATAACGTTTTTTTTTTATATATATATATAATGCTAACCCTTTTCATTAAATGTGACCAATGCAGACCCTCTGAGTGAGTTTTTTTATGTGTCTCGTTTTAGATGCAGGGTCTGGTTTCCTGCATCAGAACATTTCCAGGCCAGTGGAGGAGTGCGGTTTGTGCTGGAAGCTGCTGTTCTCTGTCTGTCCTGCTGTTTCTCTGCTCTCAGCTCTCTTCTCCTCACTGCTGGTCTACCTGCTTTGCCAGAAGAAAGGTGCTGAAGATGATTTTTGACATTAAGAAATGTGAAACCAACCTTTTTATTCAGTTATATTGAATATTTTTTTATACCTGCAGCAAACAATGAAGCTGAAAATAAGAGATGTGACATTTCAAGACAAACTGAAGGAGCTCAGGTAACAAACAACAGAACAGTTATTTGTTTTTGTTTTATAGAAATTATCTCTGTGTTAAACTTTTTGAAATAATGATAATTCTGAATATTAATTCCTAGGATGAAAATGTTTGTTACGCTGCCCTGGAAATCCATCCGCCATCACAGAGGACGAAGAGGAAGAGGACGATCCAAAGTACAGATTTCAGTACATACTCTGCCATCAAGACATGAGGAGATTCATATTTAACACAGAAGTTAAACAGTAATAAAGGAGTCCTTAGAGTTTTATTTCCTTTTATTAACTTCCTCTCAAACTAAAGAAAAAATCTTTAAACCCTCATCTCTCTTCTTTTCAGACAGCTTTGTCTTATTTTTATTTACATCTCTGTTCATCAGTAAAGCTCTTTTCAGTTAAATGTCTAACTTTCATCATGGACGCCTTGAGCTCCTCACTGAGACAGCTTAGTCAAAAACAGCAGTTAGCCTCCGACACGCCGTACCCTACTACTCTAATACTGGTTCTATATTTCACTTTACAGAAGCTCTAGTTACACATGCATCTTTTTTTTTCGCTTGTTTTACATTAAAGTATATTTTCAAACATTTTCACTGGCATTTATTAAACTCAAATTGAATTTGTTAAACTTTTGAATTATGTAACATCAGACTGTGTGACTATTTTTTCTTTTACAGCCAGCTCTCTACTGTTTACCTAAAAATTGTTAGGTTTCTGTTTCTGTTATGTTTTTCTTTTGAGTATTCTGTCTTTCCTTACTCCTTGATTTCTAGTGTTTAGTTTTCTTTTCACCATGTTTCATTATCCTAGTTATTTGATTATCATTTTGTTATTTCCAGTCTTCCAGGTTTTTATTTGTTGCTCTCTGCTGCCCTCTTGTGTTCTCCTTCTTCCCTAGCTCTTCCCCTCTCTTGTTCTGTGCACACCTGCTCCCAGTTTCCTCATTAGCCCCCTCTTTGTCTCAGTCTCCTTTAAAAGCCCTCCCTGTTCAGTTCCCCTTTGCTGGGTCCTCGTCAAACACCGTCTGCTTGCTCCAACTCCTTCTCTCTGTGCCTACCTCGTCTTGTTTGTGATTCCCCTGATTTCCCCATGGTTCTGGTACGTTAGACTTCTTTTCATGTTTTTGATTTTTGGATTTTTGGACCTCTGGTTTCTTGTTTGTTTGGACTTGTTTTCCTTTGATTTTTTTGGGATAATTAGCCTCTGATTTCTGTCAAGTCTTTATTAAATCCACAACAGATTCACCTCTGCCTCTCTGCCTCTGCTTTTTGGTCTACTCACTCAATAACCAAATCCTGACAAAAATAGAAGATAAATCTAAACTGTTACAGATTTTTAAATCTTTTATATCTAATATTTTTGTTCCCTTGAGGCCATTGAAAGGAGTGAAAAACCAAAAGGTTTATAGAAATCTGTTTGAAGGACATCTTCTCTCCTCGTATTTAAAGGGTTACTTCAGGTTTAGTTTCCAGCTGTAATATTTGAGACTCAAACAGTCATTAAAGTCATCAGGTGGGGGAACATCAACAATGACAGGATTTTAGAAATATTCTTGGATTCCAGCTTTTAGCTGATCTGGAAAACCTACTTCTAAGATGTTTAATTTCTCAAACCAACCAGATTTTTAGCAACCTTATATTAAAAATTTAGTCTGATGATTAATATGATTTAAATTTCTTTATTTTGAGAAAAAAATTCCTGAGGCTTTACTGTACAGTTTTATGTTGAGATTCAAATATTTATAATTTTTTTTACAATGATTAAAGAAGAAAAGAAGAAAAAAAAATGTTTATTTGAGAAAAAAACATTTCATATTATTTTTAAAAATTCGTTAATTGCACTGATGTCCAATACTACCAGCACTATTCCAGAGTCTGATTTATTACAGATGTCATTGAACACCTTAATCAGGGTGTCTCTGTACTGTGGTTGCTATGGAAACCTGACCATCAAAGTAGCTGGTCATCATTAAGGAGGTATTTAACTGTTGAAACAACTTTTTCAATAATCTTATTGATGAAGGGAAGGTTAGAGATGGGCCTGTAGTTCTGGAGGACTAATTTATCCAAGCTGCTCTTTTTCAACAATGGTTTGATAATTGCTGTTTTTAAGGCTCTGAGGAAAACACCCGACATGAGGGATGAGTTTATGATCTGAATCAGATCAGACTCTAAAACAGGCAAATCGTTCTAAATAAAAGCTGTGGGTAAAACATCAAGACAGCAGGAAGAGGAGCTTAGCTGCTGAATAGTTTCCTCTAAACCTTTGAAGTTTATTGGGCAGAATTTTAACAGAGTTTATTTTAACTGGAGACAACATTGGTGCTGGAGCTGGCGTTGACGTGCAGACTGCTTTTTTAATATCATGTGTTTTTTGAGTAATAAATTTGAAAAGGCCTTGCAGGCCTTTTTAGTGTGGAGTTCATCGGCCACTGTGACAGGAGGGTTTGTTAAGCTGTCAACTGTGGCAAATAAGGCACGAACACTGTTGATGTTTTTGATCTCAGAGGAAAAAGATTCTCTTGCATCTTTTACTTTTAAATTATAGTTGTGAAGTTTCTCTTTATAGATTTCATTGTGAACTTGGAGTTCATTCATTCGCCACCTTAATTCAACATTTCCACACTCCCTCTTTTCATTCCTCACTGCTGGAGCATTTCTCCATTGAGATTTTATCTTCCCAGAGTCAACCTTCCCGTTAACTAGAGCAATGGAATCAATGATGTCTGCAACTTTAGAACAGAAACTATCAACCAGCTCATCTACTGAGTTACAGGGTACAGTGGAAACAGAAGGGTAAGATTGGGTGAAGTTATTAAAGGTACTGTAGAGAATTTAGCTAATTTAAGAGGCCTGCCCTCTCCTCTTAAAAGTGCAAATGCGAGAGCGTGCACAAGCCCTTTTCTCCTCGTGCACGCTCTGTTTAAAAGTTGCTGTTCTCATAGCTCATACAGGCGTACTGTGCCTGAACGTCTGCCCTAACCCCTAAATCCCTCAATCACCAGTGGTGTCAAAAGTTCCCACATTTGTTACTTCAGTAGAAGTATAGATACTGCATTTTAAAAAAAGTTGAAGTATCAACTTGACGTCTTTACTCAAGTAAAAGTGAAAAAGTATGTGCTCCAAAAACTACTTAAAGTATAAAAGTATAAAGTAACCTTTAAAAAAAACAGCCAGATGCCACTATATGAATAAAATATTTTTCGACTATTTCTAAAAATTTTGTGAGATAGGGCCAAGGATGAGGGAGGTCTGGTTGGTCTCCGTCTACCGATACGCTCTCGCCTGTGTCCGACCTTTCAGACATTTCAACATCTTTTTCTGAATCCCACATTGTAGCATGGCATAGACAATTCACGTTAGCAGTTTGAAGAACACCTGCTGGCTTCTGATGGTTTCCTTTAGCTAACCAATGAGTGTTTGCCTTCTATGACTCATCCAATCACACTAGTTTTCACTAGATGTGGGTGGAGCCAATGACCTGCATTGGATGGAGCACATGACGGGAAATAAATATTTAGAAACATTAAACCAGGGGTAACCAATTAAAAATCATTGGGGTCAAAATAAAAAAGATCATTGTGGGGTTTAAATCCAGAGAAATGTGAGTTTAAAAGTTTAAGAGGACGAAATGTTCAAACACAGACAGGGATTTGTAACGTCAGCCTCTGCACAGTGGAGAGAAGCTGCTGGCTCACAACCAGCACTTTTTCTCCCAGATCCTTTCACAGCAAAGCCTTTTATTAACAGTTTACAACATAATAGGGCGGGTCTTAAACAGAAAACCCAGTAATGATTATCTGGCAGGATGCAGGTCATAAGACCGTGTGACTCTGCCTCATGACCTACTGGATGCAGGTCATAAAAGTTTATGACCCTCCTGATTGAATCACAGGACAGAAATGTCGCATAATTTTATGATCATAATTCCAACATTTCCCCCCTCTTATACATAAAAAACATCAGCATAGAGCACTTCTAAAAAGATTTTCACTACATACATCATGAATGCATTGCAGATAGGGAATTCAGTAATCAAAGTTTAATATGCAAAACACAACAATATTAAAAGGAAAATTCAAGCAAAAAGGTAAAATTTATTAAGAATGTAAAAAGTTTAAAAATAATCTGTCACTTGAGTAGGCAAAAACTCTCCAATAGAGAAAAAATTCCTACTCGACCCCTCCCTAGGAGGCGATCATTATCTCTGTAAAAGATTACACAGCTTCATCGTCATCATTATCTTCATCAGCATCTCGGCGGAGTTGAGCATAAGTGATAGCTGAATATTGGATTAGAGTGAATCCTATCATTTTCTGAATCATTGATTGTAGGCATGGTATTAAGCAACAAATAAAAAGGAAAAATATGATTAACAATCATCCGAATGGTAAAGCTATCTTCATCAGTACCTGCCACCGTGATCTCATGGTGAACAAAACTGTCCATGGTGCTGCAACTGCACCGGAAGTGTGACGGTTAACATTCCTCTTTAGTTCTTTCAACTCATATTGTATTCATAGAAATAGGAATATGAGTACAAACATAACAGTCTGTTTTTTTCAAATCTTCAGCAACGCGCTTGGAATGCTGCCACCACATTTTGGCATTGTAGGATGACTTGCTGTGGATTCATCAAAGACCATTCTGTTCCTCCTTTGTTTCAGACAGTCAGTTTGAGTCCCTAGTAACACCAGTCCAACGGTCATCACCGGGCAGAAAAAACACTTTGGTTTTTCACATCTTCACCAGTCCTTCCAAGGAAACACCCACTACCCGGACTCTAAAAGACTGGGTTAGGTTGGTTTCTTCACCAGCGTTGAGACGAGTGGTCCTAAAAAACCAAACCCCTTTGAAGCTTGACTTCACCACAGATCTTTACCTTAGTCGTGGGGTCCCTTTGAAAGTAACTGAGCTTCTTGCTGAGGAAAGTTTTTTAATCAGCTTACAATGACTCTGGTGGATTCAAGTTTTCTCTCTTGGATCTTCACAGCGGTGGGGGTTGTTAGTTGCACTATGTAGGGTCCTTCCCACTTTGGAGCTTCCCAATTCTTCCTTTTGATGATTTTAATCAGCACTCGGTCTTCAGGCTTCAGGCCTTCCTGTGGGGAAACTAAAGGAGCTCTGGGCAGATTACATGTTCTTTGAACAGTTCTGTATTTGAAAAGTCTAAGAATTCACTTAGTTATCTGATTTCCTTGTGAATTGTATTTACAACATGTGAGACATGCAAAAAAATTTAAAAGCAGTAGTAGTTACACACCTGTGTGTGTTACTATACTATATTCATCATAACTCCCCCCTGTTTCAGACATGATAATTCCATGGATCAAAATAGCTGCTGGTTTTAATCAGAATCCGAATCAGAAATAGTTTAATAATCCCAGAGGGAAATTAATTTTGTTACACACTCAAGTTACAGTTTTCTCTTTATATACACATACCCAACTACACGATATAATAAAGACAAAAAATAAGAATATGGGGGAACTGTTGTTTACACAGTTCCTCTTTAACCCTTAAAAGTAAGACACTACAGGTATGAGCGTATCACCATGAGAATGTAACAACACAGAGGTCATATAACTTGCTTAACCGCCAACTGTTTGGATGCACAGCTTTTGATAAGTCTACAAAGCTAAGACAGTTGCCGAGAAAAGTTCTACATTCAGCTCTGCGAATTGCTGTCTG